AAATAAATTCACGGGGTGGAAAAAAGAAATTGACAGGGGGTCAAAAAGAAATTGACATATTTACGCACACAGATAAAACACATATATATAGAGTTAATAAATGCACACAGTTAAGACACACACACTCACACATAATACATATACAGAAAACACACACAGATAACACAAATACAAATAACGCACACAGATAACACATACACACTCAAATATCACATTACATATTTTTAGCCAGCCCCCTGCTTCCATGCCTTTTTGGTGCAGGAGGGTGGCTTCCCTGGGGTCCAGTGGCATCTGGCTAAGTGTGATGGTAGTCTGTGTCAGGCTTTCCCACCTCTGACCCTGGCTCTCATACACTGTACTGCACTATTATTATTTTTCTGCTTTTCCCGAGGTTCCAAGTGTACATTACCTATATATAATTGTGTACGTATATCACTCTATTTATACTCGTTGGGCTCGGCTTCTTTCTTTCTTTACTCTATTCTACCACTTACAAGGTTGGGAATCCTTGTAGTAGTCGCTGCAGTCCCCCTTTTTGTACTTTGTATCAGTTTAGTGAGAGCCTATGATATTTTTCCTGATGTTTAAACTATAGGTCTAGTTTATCAGGAGGGTATTAACAGATTGTTATTCCAAGAAGAACTCTAATTACCACTTTGGAGTCAAGAATGGATTTTTTCCAGTTTTTTGTGACACATTTGGATATCATTTAAATTTTGGATCTACACACAGGTGTGTGAAAGGATGAACTAATACCTTCTTCAGCTTGTATTATTATGTATCTCTGTATTTCAACTCATTCACTATATTTACAAAGTGCTAAGGCCTTTACCTAGCTGTATTTCTCTATGTCTGTTTCTAGAATTCATTCTGACAATTTTGGAGAAGTCAATGCTAGAAATATCTGGATTTATAAGTTTGTTATTTTTTGTGTGCTCAAAAAGCTTATTGACTGAGAAATAACACCCTAGAGTGGATATAATTATATTTTTTTACATGTTGAAATATCTCATAAATTGCATGTGATATGATGATCATATGCCTAATTAGGCTGAAATAAGGCTAATCAATAATACATTTTCCAAGAAATCACATTTGCTGATCCCAAAGATTTTCTTTGATCTAGAAAGGAAATAACCACTTGTCCCATCTAGTTAGCCTGTATTTTTGTCCGTTATAAAATTGCAGATCTTACGTCGATACTCTCTACTTTGTCTTCTGGGATCATACTGGGCCTGTGCCATGCAGGCTTGAATTCCTTCACTGTATTAACTTCAACCATCTAGAAAAAGGAAAAATACAAAAACCGTAATTTATGTCCAGTGAACCTTATTGTTTTAATGGCAGGATGGTTTGAACATTGAAACTCTCCTTTGATAAAGGTTTGCGCAGTCACTAATCTCCTTTAACAACCTTTCTCGGCAGAATGCTAGTTCTCTACAGAGAAAACAAGGTCGCCTTTATTAACTTTGCCCTTTATTTGTCCTCGGCGTCGGTTCTGTGACACTGGATTTTATGTTGCAGTCTAATTTACTGTCTCCTCGGTCCTCTGTTTATGATCACTTTCAGCATGCAAATGAATAAGTCTCCTGTGACCCTACATGAACAGTCTTCTGTGTTAATGTTTGCCAAACCAATATTTGAACACTGTAGGATAAACAAGGGACATCCCGGATTGGGACCTCTGTGCATTAAAGCTGTTTGTTTACAGAAATCCTGATAACCTTTCTTCCGGGCATGTACCGATTGTTTCATCTTAACCCTTACCCAGCGCTCAGAGCCTGCTACTGCCACCCAAGGTTTGATGGTTAACGGGACACTCAAAGCATCAAAACTACTTTAGCTTAATGGATCATGCCATTAAAGAGTTAAATCACTTTGTTTATGCAGCCCTAGCCACACCTCCCCTTGCTGTGACTCACAGAGCCTCCCTACACACTTACTGAAAAAGAGATGCTTTTAGCTTCCCTTTTTGCAAAGTGTGTTTACTTTAGAATTTCTTATCTCCTGTTCTATTAATTGCCCTCCTGTGTATGATTAAAGGTCAAATAACAGAGCATGATATAGGAATTTCTAACTTAAACACAATGTGCTGTAAGAATTAATCCTTTATTCATTGAGGTTGTGTGAATCACAACCAGGGGATTTGTGGCTAGGGTAGCAAAAAAGTGATTTGACTCCTAGACTATGGAGTAGTTGAGCAGTGAGACTGCAGGAGCATGATCTATACACCAAAACTGCATCATTAAAGCAACACTAATGTTCAAAAAATGCCCAAAGTCCAACCCATTTTGAAAACCTGTTGCATGTTCATTCCTCATCCAAAAATGCATTTATCTACAGTAACTGCTATCTGCCACTTGCTTGCCCAGGACTTTTAGGTTTCTAAATTATTTTGTAGACGAGGTCCATGATCCTCCTCATACTGGGTTACCGTGCCTACATTTGTATCATTGGAAAATAGTGACATTTAATTTGGACTTCCAAGATCAGCGATAAAGAGATTAAAGAGAATTGGACCAAGAGCAGTAACTTGAGTCACCTTCACTGACCAATATTGTTAAGTAACACAGGTTACTAGTTAACATTAGGGGCAAAGTCAGGAGTTCGGTGGATATTATCTGCAGGCTAAGAGCTGCCTGAAGAGCACAGCAAAAAAAAAAAAAATCACTTTAGAAAATAGTGTACAGGGTGGAGAAGGTGAGAGAGAACGATTAGACAGGGGTAGGCAACCTTTTAGCAGCACTGTGCAGATATAGGATTGTGATGTCCCGTAGCGTGCCGGTCCTATTTTTTTAAACTGAGGTGTATATGCTGCCGTATTCTGCTTGTGTTATTTTTACTGTAATTGCTTTGTTTCGTTGTATTTGTGCGTATAGGAGCTATTATATTGTATATGTTCATTAGTAGTTTATAGTATCGTGTATGATACATATGAATGTGGGCTGTGTATGGGGGCTACTTGTGGAATTGTGTGTGGATGGATATGTCACATTGTGTGTTTGGTAGTGTGTGGGGGCTGTTTGGGGTATTGCATGTGAGAGGCTGCATGTAGGATTGTGTGCATGTATGTGGGTTGTTAGTGGTGTTGCGTTTGTGTGTATGTTTGTGTGTGGGCTGTTCTTGTTATTTGTATGAGGGGAGGCTTATTCTGTAGGTCTGTGTATATCTAGCAGTGTGGGTGGCTTCCCTGGGTTCCAGTGGGGACCAGGCTGGCCAGGTACAGGTCAAGGACAGGAGCTGCAACAGCAGCTGCTCTACTACAGTGTGGATTCCCATTCACAAGTGCTGGGAGGAACTGATCTGAGATCACTTCCTCTACGTTCTGCAATGCATAAATTGAGGATTGTCCTTCACTACCTCTTCGTATTAGCAGATATCTGAAGTTTCACTGAGACTCCTGATATGCCAGAGCCTGTCTGGCTCTAGCAGCCTCGAGTGCCGTGGAAAGACACCTCGAGTGCCATGCATGGCACTAGTGTCGTAGGTTGCCTACCCCTGGTTTAGAGAATAAATACAAACCATAGAAAATTAGACCAGCAGTGTCTACATCTTCAAGGACAATATAGCCCATTCCATAAGACCAGGAGAAGGTGAGAAAAGGAATTTAAGCTGAGGTTTTGTAAATGAAATGGTTTGTAGAATTCAAAGGAGGAGATTGTGAGCTCGTTTGCAGAGGGTCATCTTCACCGACTCTTGCCGTATGTTTTGTTAGAATTAAATGTCTGTCTTGTTTTCTGTTGCACAGCACCACAGAATATGTTGGCGCTATATAAATAATTGCAATCGCGAGAGGAGGATGGGGATAAGTATGAAAGGTGCATCACAAGAACAGTAGGAAGTTTACACCACTACTTTTTACGAGTGTATTTGGGATATGGATTTGCCGAATGCCCCCATACGCCATTGAACTAGGACAGGAAATGTCAAAATGTGGAAATCCCATTGGACAGCGCTACGGAATTTGATGGCGCTATATAAATAATAAAATAATATTAATAATAATAATGTGAGAAGGTTTAGTGAACAGATGAAATCTGGACAGGAGACTAATTCTATGCAGATAATAATAATAATAATGTGAGAAGGTTTAGGGAACAGATGAAATCGGGACAGGAGACTAATTCTATGCAGATAATAATAATAATAATGTGAGAAAGTTTAGGGAACAGATGAAATTGGGACAGGAGACTAATTCTATGCAGATAATAATAATAATAATAATAATAATAATAATACTAATGTGAGAAGGTTTAGGGAACAGATGAAATCGGGATGGGAGACTAATTCTATGCAGATAATAATAATAATAATAATGTGAGAAGGTTTAGGGAACAGATGAAATCGGGACGGGAGACTAATTCTATGCAGATAATAATAATAATGTGAGAAGGTTTAGGGAACAGATGAAATCGGGACGGGAGACTAATTCTCTGCAGACAGAGTGAACATTCCAACAGACCTGATAAAAATTAAACGTAGAGTTGCAGTGCAGGATGTGTGTACTAGATCATAATAATAATATAATAGTGATAATGATAGTATACTTAATAATAGCATTTATCATAAGTTTTTTATGTGGAAAGATACATTTAACTTGCCACTGATTTCCAAAGGGTCTGAATGCTATTGTTAATCAACAATGGTATTCATTTTGTGGCTCTCGGAACAACGGATAAAAGGTTGAGTTGAATTCAAGTGTAATTAAAGCTGTGATGGCAGCTAGAGTCCTTATCCACGGCGTTATGTAGAAATAAAAGAGGTACACGGCTGGGAGACACAGCTCCTTCTGATAAAAGAAGGGAATAAACTTGGAGAGGGTGAGACAATTTCGTGAACGGGATTGGCATATAGTCGTAGGAAGGTATTCGCAATGAGGGGGCATTGTAAATAGCAGGCACTTAATAACCAGAAAAAAAACATAGACAGATCAAGAAACAGACAGAGACAAAGATAGAGTATGATATACAGGAATAACATTTATTAACCTGTGCTTGACTTATATGAGGACTTGTTCTAAGCTATAAAACAAAATTAATTATGCTGTTATTAATCAGGGTGTGTATTCCTTGATAGTTTCCTGGGTACTATTTAATAATTCACCGTGTACCTCTATTCATGTATTTATAAAATATTTTACCAGGAAGTATACATTGAGATTTCTCTCGTTTTCAAGTATGTCCTGGGTCCACAAAACATTGCATCGTTACAATAGGGTACAATAAAATACAAAAACAATATTAATACCAATATATACAAAATTCAACATAGAACAGGTAGGAAATATATAATCAACCATGACAGGTGCATTCTGTTTTGAGGGATGTAGAGAGGGATCTCTTAAAGGACTTTAGGCTTGGGGAAGATTTGAAACTGTGTGGGAGGTCGTTCCATAATAGCGGTGCTCTGTAGGAAAATGAGGATTGAGCCGCTTTATTTTTGTATTGCGGTATGCTAAACATCGTGCTAGTACTGGATCTGAGGTTATAGAAGGTGGGAACAGCCGAGGAGAACATTCTGCTCAGGTAGGGTGGGAGGTTCCCAGAAAAGCTCTTAAACACAAGGCTGGAAAGATGAAGGGTGCGTCTGGATTCCAGCGGCAGCCAGTTTAGTTCTTTTAGCATGTAACAATGGTGGGTCATGTAGTTACATTGTAGCACAAAGCGGCATAACGACTTATACAATGTATTGAGTTTATTAATGTGGGATTGCAGTGCGGGTGCATATACTACATCCCCATTTTCAATGATTCACCCTAGCATTTGCTGTACAATCTTTTCCTTTACTGTAGGGCTTAGGCAGGACTTGTTTCTGCACAGGGCACCCAGTTTTGGATAAAGTTTTGATGAGAGTTTTTCTATGTGAAGGCCAAAAAGATAGCTTAGGTGCCAGGCTATGAAATGGAGATATAGAAAAGGTATCTCCTGTTTTTTGGTAGGTTGTAAGAGAATCTATGTTAAATGTTTTTAAATGATCCAATCGGTGACCCAATCGGTTCCCGATAAAATCATTATCATGACATGTTAACAAAAAACAGGCTTTACCCTTGATGTTTTTCTGTGCTTTATTAGCATTTACTCCAGGACAAATAGATCAGCTTGCTGGGCTCAATTACACTTACTCAGCCATAGTAGCCGAATTAAACGCTGACCTGGAGCATTTTCCAACTCGGCTACTTTTGCCTTAAATTTTAAATTCACTTTGAATTCCCGACAATTTTCTCTTTATTGAATAACCTGTTAGAAACCAGTGTGCAACATGTGATAGTAAATATCACAGATCTTAGAGCATAACTGGATTCAGCAGCAACATGGATACCAAGGCGACCTTATAAATCATTTTTGTTGTTTTGCCTTAAAAAAGAAAATAGATTCCACATATTTTTTAAAATAATGCCTGTTCTCCCTATAATTCCTGCCTTTTGATTGGATGGCTTCTGCCTCGAAGTAGCTTTTAGATTTCAGACCACAACCTCTGTGCACTTCTGCTCTCTGCAATTTAGATGAAAGTTAAGAATTAGTGTTAATGCAAAAGAAAAACCAAAAAAAAACACCTCATCATCTCTCAGTAATATAATCACACTCGTATCGTACATATTCTCTGATTATGCCTTATATTTCTAAAGAGCAATTCTGCAGAATGCGGAGCAATCACTGCGGAGACCTAATGAAATTCTTGATTGCCTCTCTTTTAGGACTTTGATCAAGATGTCCTCTATTTAAATACAGCTTCGTATAAGCCGATACAGTGATTTATATTTATTTTCACGATTCAACATTAGCAGTGTGCATTCAAAGACAGATAAGAATGTAGAGCAAGACGTGGGAGTAACCAGATCCGGGATCTGCAACTCAATCTGATTTAGAACGATGATAATCTGGAGCATTTAACAGCTTTACCCAGAGTTCAATTTTCCCCAAGGGTTTACTTTTGGTGATAGGCTGGTGAGATCACTTGCAAGCACACAGGACAGACTCTTCTGAAATAATTCATTAAGAGCTAGTTGCTTGTTCTCCCCAAACACCCACTCATTCCCTCCTCAATAATCCCCCTGCGGGCTCAGTCACTGCTTGCTGCTCCTGTATCAAGCGGCGTACTTGTTGCGAGCACTTAAGTACTTTTAACAATATACTTACCACGAGGAAAGCATTAGTTTGTATCAGACCACAACAAGGACGCTTTAACAGTTTCATTGCTTGGGAGAACTTGTAATAGAAACATAGAATGTGACGGCAGATAAGAACCATTTGGCCCATCTAGGCTGCCCAACATATTCCTTGTTATTGAAGTCGTGTATTTTGTAACATACAGTGCACATTTAAACAAAAACGTACTCACAAATGGCAACTGAATTCTACTATTTAAGGCATCTCTTACAATAACAAAACATAAAGGGGAAATGTCACCTGTTAGATATTAGATATTGATAGTAGATAGCAACTAAGTTACTGGGATGGGAGGGGGCGATGGGGTGCATGCCAGTGATGTGTACCACCATAAAGTCAGTGTGTAATTTTAGAGTATGTAAGTGTCAGGATGACAGTCTGCCCAGAGAGGAGGCCAAACAAATGAAATGCCTTGGAATTGTCTAACACAGCGGCGAGTGCTTGCCTGAATGTTTGAACACACTTTATAAGACCTTTTCTCTTGTGCCCCCAACTGCCCTGAATGGCTGTTGAGCAATCAAGCAGCAAGGGTGTGTAATCAGATAACCCTGCATTATTAGGGAAGTCTCCTACTTGGGACAAGTGTGAGCCAGATAACTGTTGGTACTGCAAACCGCATTATATTTACATGGCTGAGCTGCGGGGCCCAGTTTGTAAACCACATAACACTCACGCAAGGGGTTAAGGTTTCCATAGTTCTAAAACAAGTAACGAATGACTCAATAAACACACATTTTGAAATAATGCAATGATTGTGGTAATATATTCACAAAACGGGTACATTTCTAGCACCGAATAGACTATGGTTGTGTGCCAGTATATAAAAAGTATCTTATATATGTAAACAAAAACAGCAAAAATCTAATAGTGAATAAACAGTTTAGTAAGCAATATTTATGAATAAACATCACTATTTGAAGCAAAGTCTGGGTTCACATTTATATCATAGTTTTGTTTAGATTTTTGTTCTGGGTGCTGTTTCTTCATATCCGTGAAAACGTGTATGAATTACACAATCAGCAACATGTTTAAAGGGACACTATAGTCAACCAGACACTTCAGTTCAATGAAGTGGTCTGGGTGCCAGGTCCCCCAGGTTTTAACCCTTCAGATGTAAACATAGCAGTTTTAGAGAAACTGCTATATTAACATAGCAGGGTTAATCCAACCTCTAGTGGCTGTCTTCCTGACAGCTGCTAGAGGCGTGCAGAACGTCCATAGGAAAGCATTGAGCAATGCTTTCCTATGGACTGTTTGAATGTGCGCGCGGCTCTTGCCATGCATGCGCATTCCGTTCCACTCGGGAGCTGACGTCGGCGGGGGAGGAGAGGTCACTAGCGCCCGGCGCTGGATTAAGGCAAGCAAATAAAGGGGTCAGTGCCTCAGAATGGGGGCACTGAGGGTGGGGGGACCCTAAGGGTTGTATAGTGTCAGGAAAATGGGTTTGTTTTCCTGACACTATAGTGATCCTTTAATAAAATATGTTTAAAAACATTAGGAGAGAATCCACTTTGTTCTTTGCCCCTAGTATATTTATACTATATAACTTTTAATATTTGCTCATCATTAAAGGAACACTATAGGGTCAGGAACACAAACATGTATTCCTGACTCTATATTGTTAAAACCACCATCAAACCCCCCTGATTCACCCCTTAACCCCTAAATAGAGTGACATCTTACCTTTATTCCAGCCTGCTGCTGCTGTTGGCTCTGCTCGCGACCTGCCAGTTGGTTGACATCATCAGAAGTGATTCTCTCAGCCAGTCACAATGCTTTCCAATAGGATTGGCTAAGACTGACAAAGAGGCAGATCAAGGGCAGAGCCAGCACAAGTCAAACACAGTTCTGGCCAATCAGCATCTCCTCATAAAGATACATTGAATCCATGCATCTTTATGAGGAATGTTCACTGTCTCCATGCAGAGGGTGGAGACACTGAATGTCATTCACAGTGTGCAGCACTGTCCCAGGAAGCACCTCCAGCAGTGGCGGCCAGTGAAGGTATCCCTAGACTGTAATGTAAACACTGCATTATCTCTGGAAAAACTGTGTTTACAGCAAAAAGCCTGAAGGAAATGATTCTACTTGCCAGAACAAATACGATAAGCTGTTGTTGTTCTGGTGACTATGGTGTCCCTTTAACCCCTTAAGGACACATGACATGTGTGACATGTCATGATTCCCTTTTATTCCAGAAGTTTGGTCCTTAAAGGGTTAAAATGGCTGCCATCAGGGGCATGGCCAAGCTGCCGATCGTAATGGCGGCATAATCCGGAGCTCTGCAATCCCACTGAATCCCTAGCACCTTAGAGAGCACCCGAAGCCCACCATGGGGAAGAACTCCAGAGCGGTAAGCACCTCCGGGGTCGCGGTAAGCAAACGGGGTTGTGACAAGCTCCCATAAGTGCCTCCATGCAGCAGTACTTAGCGACACCAACATACAGCCTCCCACGCAGCTTCAGATGGTTTGTCGGTGGGCTACTATGATAAGTATGCAGACATACTTACCCCAATATTTTTAAAAGCATACAACTCTCTCAGGGAGGGAAACACTGACACAACAGACCCTGGCTGCCAACATCTCATTAATCCCTAAAGAGGGCAAGGATGCAGAGCAATGCACCAGTTACTGGCCCATCTCATTACTAAATTGTGACCTGAAATTTTTTACGATAATATTGTCGATGAGACCAAGTGGGTTTTGTTCCTAAATGGGAAGCAATGGATAACACAATATGAGCCCTGGCTGTCCTACACCATTCTACCTTGACTTCAGAGGGCCTTCTCCTGCTGTCTACAGACGCAGAGAAGACCTTCGACAGAGTACACTGGGACTACTTGTTTGCAGTCCTACAAAAACTAGGTATGGGCCATTGCACTATGAATTGGATCAAAGGTCTTTACTCCTGCCCCACAGCCAGACTATGTGTTTACAGAGCTCTCACGGACCCTTTCCCGATCCATAATGGCACTAGACAGGGTTGCCCGCTGCCGCCCTTGCTCTTCATCCTTGCCCTTGAACCTTTCCATCAAGCGATTAGACAGAACCCAGACATAAAGGGGATGAGAATAGGAAACACAGTTCATACTGTAGCAGGCCTATGCAGATTACTTATTATTTTTTGTGACATACCCTGATCACTCACTTAGACACATTATAACAGAATTTGACACATATGGCTTTCTATCAAATTTCTAAATTAATTACTCAAAAACTACTTAATGTGACTTTCCCAAAAGAACAGATCACACACACTCAACACCTCTTTGCCTTGAAATACCTAGGGGATCTGGATCACAAGGGAATGTGCCCAACTCTATCAGGCCAACTTACAACCACTCCTGATAAGACTGAAAGAGGACCTAGAGAAATGGTCGTTGCCACACCTCTTATGGTTCGGCAGGGTGGGGATTATCAAAATGAACCTCCTACCACGGGTTCTCTATCTGTTTCAAACTATACCGATAATCATCCCGAAAACATTCTTTGTCACATTGCGTACGTTGATCTTGAGGTTCATCTGGTGCAAATCCAAAGACGTCATGACATCCTCACACTGCCGAAATCGGATGTTGGAGGTCTGGCTCTTCCGGTTTTTAAGTTATATTATCAGGCAACTCATCTGCAAAGGGTAGGGGAGTGGTCCAAATGGGGCATGACAAAACTGTTTAAGGAAATAGAGACCACACATGTGGGCATGCCAGTCATGCCCTGGCTGGAACCAACACACAGCGCCTAGCTCATAGCTAGACACCTGTTCATTAAGGCAACCATCACTGTATGGCACATCCAGGGCCCAAAACTAGACCTTTCCTCATTTCCAACACTATTGTACTCGCTGGTTTACAACCCGGCCTTCCCTCTGGGGCTAGAAGCAAAACCATTTCATGGGCTGATGGGCACAGACATTCCCCAGGCGCGACAGCTGTTCACATAGGGAAAGATCAAGCCCTTGACTAAGCGGCTTAATGTGGACACCCCTAACTTCATACAATCCTTCAGATATAAACAGCTGACAAAATTCATCACCTCTGTTCTACAGAGACCCCTTCTGACCAGGGATCTTACCCCAATGGAGGTGATCTGTATAGACACTGACCCCCTGGAACACGGGATATCTACTATATATAATATGATCCTTACACAGCAGAGACCACCACCACCACACTTTATGGGGAAATGGGAGGGGGCCTTAGGAGAAACACTTACTACCACACAAAATCTGTGATTTCACACAACACTGCGCAGTATCCAGTAAAATATAGAAGACTGCATACAAATTTCTAACATATTGGTATTGGACTCCCCAGTCACTGCATGCAATGATACCAGCCATAGATGAGAGATATTGGAGGTGTGGAGAAGAGGTGGGCACCCTACTTCATCTATGGTGGGATTGTTAAAAAATAAAACCTTTTTGGACAAAGATCTACAGTATCATCCAAAGATTTGCAGATGACCTGCCCCCCTTCAGACCGGCACCGATCCTTGTACACCACACTAAAACTCGCATATCCACATACAAAAACTCACTGATAAAACAAATTCTGAATGTCGCCAAAGGGCTGGTGCCCTTGTTTTGGAAGAAAGAGATAGGTCCACCGATGGAACTGTGGTTCCAACGAATGGAAGAACTTCACTCTATGGAAACTTGATATTCCTTAGCAGTGAGAGGTCCCAAACTTACTCAGTAGCTTCTGTCAACAGACACCGCTGAATTCAAGACGCCACCTGTAGTAAGAGAGAGATGCGTTAGACTGGACACTACATAACTAACTAAAAGCAAAACTTGACTAAGTGAAGAACTCACGGAAGTAATGGGAGGGGGATATAGAGACGGGACACCAAGAGACAAAATGCTATGATGCAGCCCCCTTTTCATACCTGAAAATACTGAGCACCTTCAAGCCCCATCTTTGTTTTGTTTTTTTGTTTCCTTTTCCCTCCCTATTCTCCCTTTTCCCTGTTATTTAAATACTCGTCACTCAGACCTCACTGCAGTGAGACCCTTTTAATGCCATGCTTCTTTGTAGCTGCCTCTGGTGACTAAGACAGTGCCCCTCCCTCACGTAGAGAGAGACACATGCCGACACCACACAGACAATCCCCCAACTAATCACCAGGGCAACAACCTAGCACAAGCATCGTTAATGAAACGCTGTACTCCTGATGTCATATAGTAATTGCAATATTTCTCTGTCAAGTAAATAACATGCTTGTAACTAACTCCATAAAAATTGAGACCTACATGTTGCTTAGATGTTCATGGAACCTGCGAGTTCCACAGTTTCACATTTAACTGATAAAGACCTGCGTGTCTAGTACTACTCTTTTATGTTGTATTCGATATAAAAAAAATTTAATGGAAAATGACAGGAAAATCTCCTGTCAGAATAAACAGATATTCACAAATAAAAATGGCTGCCATGTATCCTGCAAGACTAAAAAGTCAAGTTCTATGCTACTAAATAGCCTTAAAACTTATTTTCTAGGGATTTGCATGAGCATAAAATTCTGTTCGGCACTTCCGAAATTCGGTACTTGGGCAATTTGGAACTTCGGCACTTCGGTTCGGACTTTCGAAATAGTCAGGTTCCTATGATGACAAACAAGACTTTTCCGTTTATTACCGTCCCTTTATATACAGTTCCTGTTTTTCACCTCTAGTGGCCTCCCTAGCCACTAGTCACCTAACACTCACCTGTATCTTATGTAATGAAGTTCTGCCTTTTCAGTGGCCTTTACATTGAAGTTGATGTTCATTCAACAGACTTCAGATCCTGGCTCCTGTGAGTGATCCTTGGTCCTGTGAGAGAACCGGTAACTTACCTGCATTGCTTCCTACCTGAATTGCTACCACCCCTAATCCTTACTAATTACTATCAACTCTACTTCTCTACAATATCCTGCCTACATACATCTCTGCTTTGACCTGACTACATAATTTATACAACCCTGCTTCATACCAACCTGGATAACATACATCTCTCCTTTAACCAGCCTACCTGATTTATACAACCCTGCAAAATCATTATCTTAACATTACTGAACTCAATTATTAACAAGGTGTTATTTTCGTTCTCTGACTCCTTATAGTTCCTATTACCTGTCTTATTATTCTTCCTAAACTTTTATCCAGCTTTATTATTTGCACATTTGTTTGTTTTCTATTTAGGGCATATCGCATTAACGTTTATTTATCCCTTTCCTTCTCCCTTTTATCTATTCTACAAGTGATACTGCTGTAATGTCAAAACCTACAAATAAAGCCTTTTCAGTTAACTCTGGCAATCGTCTCCTACCTGAACGGGAGCATGACAAAAATGTGGCACTTTGGTACGGGACTTCCAAAATTCGGGACTTCGTCAATTCCCTAACCCTACCCCTTCCCCCTGACCTTACCCCTAACCCTTCTAGGGTTAGAGGAAGGTTTGGGGTAAGGGTTAGGGGATATGATTAGTGCTAGGGTTAGGAGTAGATTCCTGTCTTCATTCCCTTAATTTTTCCTCCCTGTGCACTTCGGCACTTATGAAGGTGAGAGGTGAGAGGGTGTGGGAGGGAGGGTCTGCTGCTGATTGGCTGGAATGTGTCTGCTGATTGTGAGGTACAGGGTCAAACTTTACTCAATGATGAGTCCGTGGCGAACCGTTCGCGGCAAACCGTTCGCGAACCGTTCGGGACATCGCTAGCTGCCAGTGCAAAGATAGGATGTCACATATTTTAACCCATCTTTACAGCGCAGGTGTTAGGAGCCCCGATCGAACGGTTCTCACACAGGTTTCCAGAGGACATTGCTCAGTTGGCCACAGGATGTTTGAGTTGGTGAATACTGGGTCAGAGTCCTGCTTGCCCCACCCAAAGACAGGCCCTATTTCTGTCTTCTCCCTATTCTCAATAATAATTACATACCATAAGATATCCACACACCACAACATCCCCCCACACACATGCTGTCATCTCATACATGCATGCATACGCACCTTTATACATGAATACACTCTCTCATACATAAATGCATAATCTCACTTATATATATTTATACTGACTTTCGTGTTTGTTTAAATAAACAGGTGTCTTCTTGGATGCCAAGACACACGGTGAGCTTCACACATACATAGAGTCACACTAATACATACACAATGCATACAAACCATAGCTCTGGCCACTTGATGACCCACCAGAAGGGCATGGAGGTAGAGACCCTAAATAAATATAAATACATATGTTCCCACAAACCAAATACTTTCTGGACTTGTAAAAACTACATTTTTAATACATTTCCAAAATTCCAATTTCTATGAAAACTATGACTGGCGTTTCAATCTTACGCATAGGACTTTCATCAGAACATTGTGAAAATCATTAAACCAGCATTAAATAGACACCAGAACAGGGAAGGACTCAAAGCAATGACTCAAAGCTGTGACCCCGACCGATATATGTATGTGGTGACCGTAACAACACCCTGATAACACATTAATCACCAAAGCAGTTGAAATGAAAGCATAGCTGATGTAGAGAATTTTTCCAGTTCAGGTATTTTGACCTTAAAGTTAAAATTCACTTTGAATTCTCAGTTTAGTGAATAACTCTCTAAGGTTAATCTAAATTATTTTAATGGTTAATCTTTTTTTTTTTTTGTGGCTTATTAAGTGTTAATGTAAATTCATGTACACAGAGCTGTTTTTTGGTTCCCGGATATGATCTTGGGTGGATGTTTCTGTGTAAATGAGTGAAGAACACTTCCCATTCAGACACAGGAAGCCAAAACTTCCCTGTGACAACACACCATGGGAAGGATGGAGACTGAGGTTGCTGTGGGATGGCTTGCAGGGCTGTTGCCATGGAAACAATGTAGAGCTAAAAAGAAAAAAAAAAAGTGTTTTAAAAAAAAAAAAAAAAAACATCTTGTGGAAAATGTACATTTTTCAGCTCGATTGGAGATTTACGAGTTACTATTGCAGGAAATATTGTCACAGAGGACGATTCACGATTTGAGAAGAAGCTGCCTTAAAACTGGCGACTTTTTACTACAACTACCAGATCTGAGGCCAGATTTAATGATCATTTACTAGAAACCTCTAAAATTGGAATCAGAAATGGTAATCATTGTAAAATTTGCCAACTTTGATAGAAATAAAAAAATGTTACCTCTAGGCGGTTATTTATTTTTTTTAAGAAAAAAATTGGGATTTTAATACAGAGCTTGCAGGTTAATGAGTAGGTGGTGCAGTAAATGTTTACGTACAATACTAAACGTGTTTCCTTATAGCTGTGCTATTGTGAACTAACTACAGCTACTCCTCACTTACCCACCGGATTCCGTTCTTAGAACCCGGTCGTAAAACTAATTGGTCGGTAAGTGAGGATGAGCTAGAAAGCATGCGTACCAGTGCAGGTTTATGTTTGGGGAAATTTCTGTTCGGGGAACATTCCCCAAGCAT